GTTTGAAGAAGACAATCCTTGTGCGAAGGATCGAGTCGGAGATCAAAAAAGTTTCGGTCTCAGAAAAAGTTCTCGAATTGCTCGAACTCATCGAATAGCTAGACTACGAAGAAGGAATTATGGCTTCAGAGGCCATGAAAGCTGCATACTGCGTGGTGGTGGTGGACTGCACGACGAGGTTTCTCGACCTGGCCTGGTCAGTACCTAGCCAGGCCCTTTTTCCATTTTTATATTATATAAAATCAAAGTGCTATTTCTAATTCAATTTACAGGGTTAGTATAACAACGATAATCCAAGATCAATCAAATTGAATGCAAGTATGATTGGAAGAACTTCCCAACACAATAATTAGGGTTTCAATCTTGTATGGACGGGTCCATGGATCGGTTAAGCTATATTTCTATCCTGATCGATTAGTAACTCTTCAGTTTTTAATGTATATAAACACAAATTTTGAATTCTTTGGTTCACGGATTTTCAACGAAGAGAGAGAACGTAACGTCAGGTTTAGAGAGAACAGTTTACATAATTTGATCCACCTCATGTTCGGTAGTTCTTTCGATGAAAATTTTCGGTTTTCCTATCATTTTTCTTCTTATTATACTTTCTTCCTTTTTCATTTACTTGCTTTTTTACTTTACTGAAATAAGGGTATGTTTGGATTGAGTGATTTGGAGGGATAGTGAGAGAAAAGAAAAGAAAGGATAGTGTAAATTGTGTTTGGGTAGGTTAAAATAAGAGAAAAGAAAGAATAGGGAGTGATAGCCTCCCTATCTTTCCTTTTATATCTCTCTAAAAATGAGAAGATAGGAAGAGAAAGGATGGTGTTTAAGTAGTATTTTAATAATTTCGAAACTACCCTTAACAATTAAAAGGAAGAAATTATTATTCCACTCATATCCCATCTATTTTAAAGGATATGATAGTAATTTCATTGTTATCATTTCTCTTCTTTTCTACTCTCTATCATATCCAAACAAGAATACTATACTTTCTTTTCTATCTATCCAAACATAAATAGAAATTATTACTATCATTTCTTTTCTTTTCTCTCCTACTTATCCAAACGCACCCTAAAGAAAAAGGGGAAATTATGGATTCTTACACAATGCATTTTTATGTTAGGAGTTCCGTGGATGGGAACAAGGACGAAGAGTGGGACTCTTTTCATGCAGTCAAGAGAATCTGGAGGGATAGGTTCGGGGAGATAGAGAAATGGGAGAATATAGGGTTTGTGTCGGATGAACTTCGGAATTGGAGGGATAAGCTTGAGGCTGCAATTTGGGATGCTAGTGTTCAAGAAAATCTGCGAAAGAGGAAGGAAGGGAACGATGCTGTGGAGGCTGTTCGAGTTTATGTCGCAGAAGTCTGGGAAAGCATGGGTCCTCCATTTCTTGAACTGGTTGCCCAAACAATGGGTTAACACTGAAGGTGCTGGGCATGAACAAAGTTTGGGAGAGAGTGACAGGTTTGACAGATGCAGGTGAGAAAGCTGATCTCATTTATATAACTTATTTATTCAAAATTGTTACTGTTTTAGGGGTTTGCATTTTACACCATCAACTTGTAAGATTATTGATAAATAATTCATTTGAGTCACACATAACATTATGTATGGCTGTGTTATGGCCTAGGTTGAATTCGTTATAGTCATTTATATGTTTAAGAATCTCTTGAACTTCAATTATCTGTTGGATATATTATGTACAAAAATTAACCAAAAAGACCAAATAACTACTACAAAAAACTAAATAATTATCTTTGAGACAAAAATTCATATATTATTGATTGGTTGCTTGACCATCATATACCCAATTAACCTGAAATTAATCAATCAATTACTCCCTTCGTCCCAAAATAGTTGGGCGCTTTGAGAACTGTGACTCACGCCCAACTATTTTGGGACGAAGGGAGTAGTTATTTAAAGAAGCTTTTTTTATTTTATCAAACATACGTAACAATCACCAAAAAAAATAAAAATAAAAATAAAAAAAATAAAAAAATAAAAAAAAAATAAAAAAAAACAAAAACAGTAAGACGGTGAAGCCAAAATTTTAACCCTAAAGTAAAGTGAATATATTATCTATTATTGCAATTGGGCTTAGTATAATATAATAGTGAAAGGTTTAAGAAAAGAAAAAAAAGTGTATTTTTAATAGAAAGTTAGAAACCAATTATAGTTAGAAAATATTATGGAGGGCCAAATATGCATTTATCTATACTATTTTTCAATTTAGGTAATACTAATAAAAGTCAATAAAAATTTTGGGGGACCATGGCCCCCGCTGGCCTACCCCTCCCTCCGCCCCTGACTCTTTCTCTTTCTTATTATTTGGTTTCCTGTGGGTTTTACTCTTTCATTGATCATTATATATTGCAAGGAAGTAAAGTAAAATGCCATGTTCTTTGAAGGTTCATGCTTTTCTGTTTTATGCTCGTGTCAGTCTGTTATGATGTCAAAGCAATCAATTTTCTGGCATATAATGGTTAATTGTACGTCTTTACATAACACAATTGTGGCCACAGTAGTTGTGCTCCTCTGATTATTTTGTTGGTAGAGTTTTATTTTACCAGGCTTCTTTCTAGAATTTATGAGTTTTGCATATATATTTCTGAATTGAGGGTTCTTGTTCACTTTCAGAAATGCAAAAGGGTAACACGCTTCATAAACGCAAGAATGCCACTGGTCGATGCTCTAGAGGGCCAATCTCGAAAACAGCTAGAGGAGTTCATATTACTGATAATGTGGAATCAGACTCAGGGACGACATACAACAAATATGATTGCCCCCCTACCATTATGGTTAATAAGATACAAGAAGAGCTCAGATCCAGTTCTTTGCAGCTACAAGGCTATGGTGAAAGACCCTCTTCCTGATGCATTAAAGCTTGCTGAAGCTATAATAATGCAAAGAGGAAAGATGAACCACGAGCCTATGGCAGAAAATCAGAATAAGTTTGATGTACATGCTGTGAATACCTCTGTTGATAAGAGTGATGAAGTTGTTGAGGCCAATGAAGGTAACACTGGGAATCAGTGTTGCAGCCATCAGAATGAGGTGCCTAGGCCCAAGCTTAATGGCACGGAATGGTACTGCCTGCACTAATGAGGTAATGTTTTCCTGTTTTTGCTCTTTTTCTTCTAAATTTGTTTCAAGTCTAATGGTAAGTGGATGTATGAGAGAGAGAGAGAAATTTCCTTTGTTTTGGAATATAGTCTTCAATTTGTTATGGAATCTAGTCTACTCATATGCTGTAACCCTACTTCTCATTTTTACACAGTTATTTCCTGATTATTGTCACACCGATATCGTCTTACCAATATCAGTACCACCGTGGGGAAATTTTGGGAATTCATTATGGTAACTAGCATGTTTCTTTATCGAAAGTAACAAAGACAGTGTTTTCAACCACTAAGGTGAGTAATCAAGTTACTTATAGGAAGAAGCATATGCGTATATCTTAAAGTTTCAATATTATTACAAGATCAATATAGACGAATACAATGGAGCATTCCACTTAACGTATATGTTCAAGGTGTTCTAAGGAATCATCCTAAACTAATGCAATGATTTCATCACAAAACAATAACAATATCAATGTACTTAACAACATTAATTCGCCAATAACCAAAATTACAAGTCACAATTAAGCATTAGTTGTCAACTTAGAAAATGAATGCGAAATCAATTAATAGAATACTTGGACATCAAATCTTGGATAAAGCCAAGAACTAAATGGTTATTCCAGGCATTAGCCCGCACGGAATATCATCATAGTGCGCACTATAAATGGTACTGCCTGCACTAATGAGGTAATGTTTTCCTGTTTTTGCTCTTTTTCTTCTAAATTTGTTTCAAGTCTAATGGTAAGTGGATGTATGAGAGAGAGAGAGAAATTTCCTTTGTTTTGGAATATAGTCTTCAATTTGTTATGGAATCTAGTCTACTCATATGCTGTAACCCTACTTCTCATTTTTACACAGTTATTTCCTGATTATTGTCACACCGATATCGTCTTACCAATATCAGTACCACCGTGGGGAAATTTTGGGAATTCATTATGGTAACTAGCATGTTTCTTTATCGAAAGCAACAAAGACAGTGTTTTCAATCATTAAGCATTACTTATTGCATTATCATCCATTCAAAGCAACATAATAGCTAAGAACTCCATGTCACAATTTCTCGATACCTTCGTTATGAGCTTTACTCAATTTCAAGATGTCTCTGTCACAATAGCCGACAACCAGCATAGATTTAGTATGGACTCACTTGACTCAACACACTAACGTATCCACATATAAAGGTAGTACTCCGTAGTAGCTATTAATCAAAGACAACGTCATTAGGGACAGGCTGATATTGGTGGATAAGATCCTTTCTATCTGATGTTTATGGTTTATTTGGTAGATTGTCTCCAATATTAGGCCTGCTATATGTTTCTCATGGCCATTTGTGCAACAATGATTTTGAAATTGTGTATTTCAAGATTTTAGTAATAAGTAGGTAGAATTTTTTTTTCTCCGAAAGGTAATAAGTAGATATAACTTGCCAAAATATGAAGTGTGAACAACATCCTGATGGCGGACAAAGCGTACAAAAGGGTAATTAAAGTACCCATGGTGACACTTGACATCTAATCTGATATGGTTTCCGATTTTCTAGTACTTTTAGGAAGTTATATTGAAATATGTTGCATACATCTATGGATGAAAAGATAATCCGGTGAATTTTCCCTTGGGTAAAAAATCAACAATAACTGCTTGAACTAAACCTGTGACACAGACGTACATGCACAAAAAATAAAAATAGAAATAGAAATAGAAAATAGTTGTGTTGCACTTTCATGGCTGGGAATTTTGTTGGATCAGCTTTAATTTCAAGGAGGTAGCGATTGCTGGGCATATTATCTCCTTTAAAAGGTTGCAGTTGTGTTAATTTATATAATATCGGAAATAAATATATATTAGCACACAATTTATTTATTTTTGCAGTGGGATGATTCTATTGACAATTTATCTGAAGGGTCACCTGATGGTCAGAATAGAGTTCACTTACCCAGCCCAAACAGAAGGATTGTTTCTCCTTTGAAGAAGTATGAAATGCCAAAATTATCGAAGAGGAGAAAAGCTAAGAAATGGAGTCTAGTAGAAGAAGACACATTGAGGACTGGTGTGGCGAAGTATGTGACTTACTTTTGTAAAAAATTCTAGTAATGTTTTTATTTTTATTTTTTTTGAGTATGTTAATTTTGACACTCATTTGAGTATATGTTGTTTTTGAAGGTATGGTGTAGGAAACTGGGCGATCATCTTAAAATCCTATCCTGACGAATTTGAAGAGAGGACAGCGGTATAGAATTCCCTGTTTCTAACATTTGTGTTTGTTTTTTTTTTTTTTGGTATTGAAATCCCTGTATTTGATTCAACATTTGCTTTTTATTGTACTAATACGAGAGGTTATTTTGTTCAGCTTGATTTGAAAGACAAGTGGAGGAACATGACTCGTTATTGACTCCTCTAATCATAGTCTCTAGCGTTTTGTATCTTTTTGTCTATTATGCTAAATTCCTATGTTGACATATTTGAAGAGCGGATTGAGGTAAAAAATTTGCATTTCCCGGATAATAATATGAGAAGTTATTTTGTTCAGGTTGATTTGAAAGAGAAATGGAGAAACATGACTGGGTATTGACTCTTCTAATCACGGTTTGCGTTTTTTATTTATGGTCTGCAGCTTTTTATATGTTTTGTATATTTTTGTCTATAGGTTTGTTTTGCAATCTCTCTTCTTTATCCCGCAACTCATTAGGTATGAACAAGTTGAATAGGTCTCAATGTCTTGACCAGTTCAGAACTTTGTATTTTGTCTCCTCTTTATGTGTACAACCTAACGATCTCCCACCTCATGACTCTTCTGATGAACTCTCTTTTAATTTAACATACTACTTTGGGGGAAAAAAATAATGCAATAATTAGAGCAATGCTCTCGCTAGAGCTCCCTCATTAGAAGGGTCATTGAGTTCTTTATAGTATTTAGGGCAAAGTGCAGAAAACGCTCCTATGGTATGCTTACAGTGCGTCTTATACCCCACACGTGGAGAAAATACTCCTAAAGTTTTAATTTGTGCAAATAGGTTCAGTCCAAAATACCCTTCTACATATTATTTTTTAAAGAATTATTTTGTGAAATGACCATAAAGGACAATATTATTTTAACTTTTTTTTTTTCAAAATAATATTTTAACATGAGCGCTGGCTCTGGTGCGGCACTAAACATAGAGCTTTCGAGCATGGAGGTCCGGCGACCCACAGTTGCCGCGACCCTTCTCTCTCTTCTTTTGTTCCATTTTTGTTCCTTTTCAAAAAAAAAAAAAAAATTCATCCCCTACCTCACCTCAAACCTCCATTGATGACCATAACCTCCAACAACCTTTGGACCTCCATTGATGCTCAAAACAGCCTAAAAAAAAGATCAATGAATTTCAAAGATTCAAAAGAAATTGAATGAATTACTAGGAAATTGCAACAAACCTATATACTCAATCTAACAAAAACGGCCAAAAATTAGTCTGGATCCTTCTCTCTCAAAAAAAAAAGAGAAAAAGATAGAACAATGAATTAGTGAATATCATACTTTGTAATTGTCATTGTATTGTATATTCCTTTCCATGACTGATAACTTAATCTTCTAAAGAAAGGTGAAACGGACCTTTGAATAAGTATGGAAATCATGTGATGATTTACCAAATTTCTATTGGCAATATGGTGCAACAATACCTAGTCATCACTAGTAAGGATTTACAACACACATCGGCTGATGTGGACCAATAATAAATTGACATGTAATATTTAATTACCAAATCAAAGATGGTGGATAGATATTCACTTACCAAATGAGAAATAGTGATTTGATTATCATATATAATTTGGTAATTAAAATAGGATGTGTGCATTTATTATTAGTTCACATCAGTAGTGAGTATGTTGTAGATCATCAGTAAGGATCTAAGTATTGTCTGTGCAAAATCACCTCCCGTCCAACAGTTGCCCATTTCTTCTTTTTTGGAATAAGTGGCTGGGAAAGTGCCATATCAATTAAAAATATTAGGTAAATAATTTTTCACCATCCCTCTTTAAGTTGTATTTCACATATATATAAAAGCTTTAAATATTATTTCCTAAATATCGTAGCCTTCATTTCAGATTTTGATTTATTTCCAAATAGAATCAGGAAGCAGATTTTGGGTCCTTTTTTTGGTTCTTATTATTTTTTAGGATTTTCATTCTCTTTTGAGAAGTTCAAATTTCAACCAACTGGACCCATGATGAAGTGAAAGTCAATTTATTAAATATTAATAGATATGTTGTATACGGAAGTTGTGTGTGTGTGTATATATATATATATATATATATATATATATATATATATATATTATTGGAGATCAGGATCCTCTCCCATCCAATAGTTGCTCATTTTCTCCATTTTTGTTAATGAACCATAGTTACTAAGGTAGGTAAAAATGTGTATTTGTTTTATACACAATTTCAGTATATACACTTTTCAAAAATATTGTTTCTTCTTCTTTCCCTTATTTTCAGCAACCCAAATACTGCCAAATTGATATTTTATGAATGGATTAATCAATTGTTGTGTTTTTAATTTTTTTGGGTTTTTTTTTTTTTTTTTTTTTTTTTTTTTTTAAATGTAGAAGGCAAAATAATTATGGTGTCTTTTATCATTAATCGATCAATTTTCAATTTGTAATGACATACTTATCCCCGTGATCTTCTTATCCGTTCGAAGGAGTCTAGGCCGCGACGTTAAAACATTGCAGTCATTTGGAAATCCAATAGATATTTGCCACGTCAATTATCACGCGAGATCGCGTTCACACCACTTGATATTCAATAACATGGCAAAATTTTATTAGCGGTTGTACCGGATGCAATTTGAAAAGGGAACAGGTTATCTACTGGACAAGCCTAGTCCGCCACGTTAAGAAATTGCCACCCATAAAAAAAATCCAATACATATTTGCCACGTCATAAAATTAGAAATCTGCGCAATAGTCACGTGACCGGGAAAAGATCACGTGACGTGGCCAATTTTTATTGGTTGTTATACCGGATTGTAATGAATGTGAGCAGAGACGGTTGTTTTGGTCCGCAGGGTTTTACATTTTCAGTTCAAAGTCTTTAGTGCTAGGGTAGAGAGAGCGCGCTTAGAGTAGAACTCCAATTTTCTCTCTTTTCACCGGGTACTGTTTACCAATGGCGGTCGGTGGTTGCACTTTCTCGTCGGACGATATCGTCCTAAAGTCACCGACCGATAGGCGATTATACAGATATATTCAATTGCAGAATGGTCTCTGTGCTTTACTCGTTCACGATCCTGAAATTTACCCTGATGGGCCTCCGAATCTTCGAAAGCCGCTGAACACAGTGAAGAAGAAGAAGACGACGACGACGACGACGAAGAAGACGGAGAAGAAGACGAAGGAAGTGAGGAAGATCAAGAGGACGATGATGAAAAGGATGAAGAAGACGATGCAATGAAAGAAAAGGGAAAGGAAGGCGCTTCTCAGACTAAACAGGTTTCTTTCTTTCAGCGTTTGAATTCCAAGATTGTTGTAGAAAATTTGAAATTGTTTTGCAGTTGCAATTGGGATTGAAGTTTATGTTATTGTTTTTGTAAAAATTCTTAAAGTATCTACTTATCAAAAAAAAAAAAAAAAATTTCTTGTAGTATCTACAAGTATAGAAACTTTGAAATTATTTTGCAATTGCAATTGGGATTGAAGTTTAAGTTATTGTTGTTGTGATGTGTCCAAAATGGCACTTTCAATATGTTTTGCGTTGTTATTTTGGTAGGTTTATTCTGTTGCATGTCTATTCTTTCTATTGATCATTTTCTTTTCCGGGCAGCCGCAGCATTGTGTGTTGGAATGGGAAGCTTCTCTGATCCTTTGGAGGCACAGGGTCTAGCCAATTTTCTAGGTTTGATCCTTCAACTGTATTCTATATACAAATAGTAAACAGTTTATGTTGTGTGGAAGCGTGGGCCCGACAAATAAATAATGATGGTTATGATCTCACACACAAGAAGAATACACTCACAAAATAATAAACAGGAAAAAAAACACACACACAAAAGGAAGACAAAAATTTACGTGGTTCGGTAATGTGCCTACGTCCACGGGAGCTCAAGATCAATGTACTAATATTAAAACCCAAAGGGTTACAAAAGGTTCACAACTGAGAAAATAAATATTATTTTCTCCAAACTCTCTTTGCTCACTTGAATGCTCTTGGATGATTTTCGAATGAATGAAACTATGAGATACAAGGTCTATTTATAGCCAACAAATCTCCTTGATGATGTAAACAACGATGTAAGTAAAGCCTGATGTAAGCGATGACATATGTAACTGATGATGTAAGTGATGACATATTCAACTGCTGATGTAAGCGATGACATATTTTGAGCCAATTCCAATTTTGCAACTTCCAAATTTGTTAACACTAAATTTGTTAACAATCTCCACCTTAGCGAAAAATTCTGTACACCTTTTCAAATATGATCTTGAACTACCTTCAATTGCGCCCAAAGGCGCTCATACTCGCAGGATGTTAATCAAGTCTAAGCAATGCTCAAACTTAACCTTCATTACAACCTTCGTCAGCATATCTGCGGCATTATCTGCAGTCCCAATTTTCTGAAGAAGAATATTGCCTTCGTCCAAAATTTCACGAACAAAATGGAAACGGACATCGATGTGTTTTGTACGTGAATGATGAACCTGGTTCTTTGCCAAATAGATAGCACTTTGACTGTCACAGTAGACATCAACATGCTCCTGAATAATCCCCAAGTCCTCAATCAACCCATGTAGCCATACGGCTGCCTTAATGGCCTCTGTCACTGCTATGTACTCTGCCTCTGTTGTAAACAAAGCAACTGTAGGTTGTAATATTGACCTCCAACTCACCGGTCCTTTAGCAAGTGTGAACACATAACCTGTAGTTGACCGACGTTTATCCAAATCACCAGTATAATCCAAATCCACATATCCAACCAAATACTGACCAAGTCTATCATCCCGCTCAAATTTTAAACCAACATCTACAGTACCATGGATGTACCGGTTAATCCATTTCACTGCCTGCCAATGACCTTTATCTGGGTCATGCATATACCTGCTCACCATACTAACGGCCTGTGAAATGTCGGGTCTCGTACACACCATTGCATACATTAAACTTCCAACTGCGCTCGCATACGGAACATGAACCATTTGCGCACGCTCTTCATCTGTGCGTGGAGATAATGAAGCACAAATCTTAAAATGAGGGGCCAAAGGGGTACTTATAGGTTTAATATTCGAGTCCATACCAAACTGATGTAGCACCTTCTTCAAATATTGCTTCTGAGACAAACAAACAGTGCCCTTCATTCTATCTCTTCTAATCTCCATCCCAAGTATCTTCTTAGCTTCACCAAGATCCTTTATTTCGAACTCAGTACTTAACTGAATCTTTAACTTATCAATTTCAACTTTGCTCTTAGATGCAATTAACATATCATCAACATATAAGAGCAAATATATAAATGATCCATCACGAAGTTTACGAAAATACACACAGTGATCAAAATGGCTTCTTGTGTACTGTTACCCTTTCATGAACTGATCAAATCGTTTGTACCACTGCCTTGGACTTTGTTTCA